ACTGCGCTCAGGGTCACAAAATCGATTGGCCTCCCAGGTCCTAAAGATGCCGGGCTGGCCACAACCAGGGCCAGGGCCTTCTCAGTGGTAGCTCCGTACTGGTGGAATGAGCTCCCAGAAGAGATCAGGGCCCCCAGGACCTTTTACATTTCTGCAGGGCCTGCAAGATGGAGCTCTTCCACCAGGCCTTTGACTAAGGAGCCGCGCCAAATAACTGAGAAGTGACAGTGCCCTGGTCCTTGGCTTACCACCAACAGCCTGTGCTGTTGCCTAAATATAGAGACCAAGACGAGCCAACAACCAATATAGATCATCTGATTACAACACTAGTATTGGTTCTGCCTTCTCTAAGCATTCTTATAAGTACCTGATCACTTACTAGCACTTTATGACAATGTAAAGGTTTATTATTTGTTTTAAGATTGTATATAATTTGTTACCTATAAATTTAATCTCGTTGTAAGCCGCCCTGAGCCCGCTCCGGCAGGGAGGGCAAGGTATAAATTGAATAAATAAATAAAGTTATTCACAAATTCTTTCATTTCTCAACAGTTTTCTGCACTGCATCCACAAGCATTTTTCCCCTTGTCCTTCCATTGCTTTCTCAACTCCTTCTAGCATGAGCTGTGCCATACTGAATCCCACAATATCCATCACCTCTACTTTCATTGTCTCATGTTTTAAGAGGTTAATTATGTTTTTATACTTTGTGGAAGATTTCACCAAATCGTTTTTATTCTTAGGAACAAAAGTCCTTAAAGTACTTCATAACTAAACTGAAAACAATCTGCCTTCTCACTGGGAAGTCATCATGTTTCCAAAAAATGCAGTAATGAAAACAGAAAAACACAAACTGCATTCACAAAAATCAAAGAAATGCTGACTTTATTGACCAATTTTTTAAAACAAATTACTGACCAAGATGAAAAAAACTGACTTTTACTAATTTTACTGTCCATTTTCCACCCCTGAAAACACTACTCTAATTTTGTAATCCTATTTCTTGCACTGCTGACTGTGTATGTAATGTCCTGGGTGCATTGTTTTTAACTGTGTGATCCAGCTCAGACTATATGTGAAGTAGGTCGTTAAATAAATAAAATTTTCGACATGTGATTAGCACTGTTAAATTTGAATCAACAGGACTGGTCTCCATCCTCCCTTCCCTGTGCATCTCTTGTAAACTGCTTGCGGAACACACACATATTGCTGTGCGGCTCTACAGATGTCGTCTGTGCTGAACCATAATGCGACACTAACCCTTCTCTCCTGGGAATCCTACTGTGATGGGTTCTGCAGGCAAGCCTTCTAACCACTGGGCTACATACGCCTGTGATGAAGGAGGTATGAGTGGGCTATTCCTAGTAGCCTGGCAGTACACTGTCTTGAGGGAATGTGTGTGCATTTGGTTGGATGATGTAACTTCTGTGTTCTAATTCTTACCACTGCAGGGTGTTAATCAGCACCTCCATTGCTAAATGTGAAGTGTGTTAGTCAGCTACATGGTAGGCGGTAAATTAGTTTCAAGGAACTGTGTGAGAGTGCTTAGCACTGCTGTTACATTGCCTTTTGTTTCTTCTGCTATTATTGTGTTCCTGACTTTGCTCCTGGGGCGATCCCAAAATACCAGCATAGCTGTGCTATAGGTTCTGCCCACCCCTCCGCTGCAGAAGACTTGCACTACCTTGGCATCAAGTCCATGCAGGACATACTGAGAACCCTGTAGACGGTGTCACAGCTCTTGCCATAGGTACACCCAGTATCAAGTCCATGCAGGACCTACTGAGAACCCTGTAGACAATTGGTGTCACAGCTCTTGCCATAGGTACACCCATGAAAAATGGGTATACTTTCTATGTTGTGAGAAATACCTCTGACAAACTGATACTGGTTAGCCCAGTTCTTAACCGTCTCCTGTATTTGGCAACAGAGGCAGCACCGGCCAAGAGGGACGTTCTGTCACCATCCCAAACACAGAAAACAGGCAGGGAGAGAAGTCACCCCACCTTGCTGTGCTTTAGACTGATAATAAATTCCATCCATCCATGTCTGAACACAGAAAATGGCTCATTCCAGGTGCAGATTCCCTGTTCTATTCTCCCATCTGCCCCAATTCACTTTCCCAGGGCAAAACTACCTCTGATGTTACAGATTACCAGCAGCAGTCCCAAGATCCCCACCAAGGTTAGAAGTACATTAGCTTCCGGGCTGTAGCAAAAAGTTGCTCTGAAAAAGCAGCTCTGTTTCTGGGGGCCAGACAATATACAGCATGAAAGATAGGCCTATCGGTGGCTACTAGCCATGGGGACTGAGGGGAACCTCCACGTTCAGAGACACTAAACCTCTGAATCCCAGAGCCAGGAAATAACATCAGGGGAAGGTCTTGGCTTCTATGCCCCATTGTTGGCCCGCCAGAGGAACTGGTTGGTCACTGGATGAAGACAAGATGCTGGACTAGATGGACCACTGGTTTGATCCAACAGGGCTCTTTTTATGTTCTTATCTAACCATATTTAAGTGACATTGATAAAGATACTAGAGCATGGGGTAAAAGGAACTCACAGCTAAACTCACAGGTACTTGGAAAGCTTGGACATGGCCAGAGGCATAAACCCTTAGCCACCCAGTACCTCTGGATGAACCAGCAACTAATTCCTGACCCACTCAAGCCATGTTGTTGGTTTTTTTCCTGGTTTATCTACGTTGTGTTTGTTGTTGTTGTACACCACTTTGGGTTTCACTGGGGGAAAAGCAGAATACAAATACTTAAATAAAAGCCCATAAAGTACAACATTGCCAGTAGAACCATGCCTAAGATAAGCATACCTCAGCTATATATTTGAGTCCAGATGCTTGAGAATTATTATAGTTGACTTACCAGGTGCAGAAACCAAGATCTGGCATCGAGTGAGAATAGCCAAGAGGAAATCATTGTGCGAATGGACTGCCAAAAGGAAGGGGAAGAGGGAACAAAGCTGAGGTAACTCATATAGATGATAGGAAGTAGCCTTGCAATCATTTCAGTGTTTGTACCAGCACCACATACAGCATGGGCTGTGTATGTTAGCATGTAGCGTAATAACACTTACTCATGTAAGAATTACCATTGTAAGACATTACAGCTGTGTACAATAAACTTATGTTCAGTATATTTTTATTCTATGCGAAAATGAAGAATTGGATGCTGGACACATATTTCAGCATCCTGAGAATCTCAGCTTTCATCTTCTAAAAAGCCCTTCAAACTGCTATAAAAATACACTTGGAAATGTATCAGCAATGCCCAGAGAAATCTCTGAAACTGGGGGACGGACTAAATAAAGTCTTCATTAGTCATGGTGTAATTTCACTTTCCCCATTCCCATGACCTGCCACAGCTGAATCATTTTAGAGAGGGCAGTTGTAGACTGACATCTGGCTGACAGCACAGTCATCCCCAATCTCAGTTATGTGCATTTATTGATGGGAATATGGAACACAGGCAAAAGAACTCAGAGATGTCTTTTCTTACCATTGTCTTGCGTGAGGAGCCTTCGAGCTTCCAGGTCAAACTCTTCTTTGCTGATCTTTTGCTTAAACCACAGCTTTAAATTAGCCCAGTATCTGTACAAAGTATAAGCAACATTCTATAAGTGATAAGTTCTTCCCATCAAAATCTATCCTTTTTCTCTTAAATGGCCCATCATGTCATTTCCTAGAATACAATAAGAGGAACTGCAAGGATTGTCTACTCCAGGACCAGGGAGGACACTGGCTTCAATGAGAGCATTGATTTCAGATTGACGATGAGTACTTGGGCTCCCCTGCGACTTGGAGCATTTCTTAACACCTTTTTAAATTCTAATGAGGGCCTAAGAACACAGCCTGGTGCTAGAGAGCAGGGCACATGACGTGATGTGGAAGGATAACCAGAGATTTGCAGGTGCATGCTCCTAGAAGTCCCAAAAACAGAGGCAGCAGCCATGTGGCCTGTTCATCACCAGGGCCTGCCTACCAGTCATCCACCACTTTGGGGCAGGGTAGGAGAAGTAGACTCTCCTCTCTAGTAATGGTCAGATGCTTCCTGTAGCTCTCCCAGTCATAATGTAACTTTTAGGCTTTAATGTTAGATCATTTATCTTTAGAAACTGAGACATGTTGTACTGGCAAGTGACCATAGTTCGGGGATCATGGACTGTAACATTTAGCTGCAACCAGCTCTAAGTGAGCTACCATTTGGGCACTGGCAAACTCCATGCTCTAGTTTTAAAAAGAAATGATCCTGCAAGCCTGAAGTCTGTCTGTCCCCAATCTATACCAAAGCCCATCTTTCAATTGCTTGTCCCCATACTTCTGCTCCATCCTTAGAAATGATATTTTCACAAATAGTTTCAGGAAAAAAGTTCCTATGGCTTCTATTGCTAACTTGTTCCATTGTCCATCTGATACGACTAGACCATAATTCCCATGACCAGTTTGACTTCATATAATTTAAATGTGGATATTCAGGTGCAAACGAGAAGGTTCATTTACTACTGTGTAAGTCAGGGGATTTCTTAAGCTTAGCTTACAAGATGTGAGGGGGGGAGTCAGTTGCAAAAATCCCTCTTTACTATTAAAACACACAGGGACCCTGTCTTCCTTCTCTCGCCATCATCCTTATTTTAACCTTGCAAGACATTTTGCAAATAATTTGTTGGACCTCATGTGTTTTGTTTGTACAAATGGGACTTCTGCTTGTCTGAGATTTTTGCCTATCCCCCTTCCCACTGCATACCCCCTCCATACTATTCACAAAGGGTCTCTTCCCCCGGAAGCAGGAAGTTCCATTCCACAAACACTGCTGTGGTCACAAGTGTGTGAGACCCAACCCAGTGCCTCTAAAATTGAGCTATTCCAGCATGCAGTAATGGGTCACTTTTTCATTGGCTATTTGAGGATGAATTATAAATCTGACAGGATCAGAGGATACCTTCACCATTCTGTCTTTACGAAATTTAGAATCCTAGTGTTTAATGACAACCTTCTGTTCATAGCAGCAGCAATTATGCAGCTGATGTGGCTGAACTGCCAGCAGGGGGAACTCCTGTTCTCTGTATGTTACCATCTGTAATTTGTGGATGTTACACCTAAGATGATAACCAGGAATCGAATCTTAAAAAGAAGAGGGGGAGGCCAGGTCTTTATTCTTAGAATTACATTTCTACTCTGATTCCACATAAAAGGTTCAAAATAGGGAAGATGTCAGCATTTTCAAATCAACTTAGGCCCCGTTCAGACGGCGAATTTGCTGTGGGACAGCCACGGGTGGTGGGCGGATTATCCGTGGGCGATCACACCCCAACATCTGGGAAGTGGAGCGCACCTGTGGGCAACTCGTGGCTTACCGCCGAAAACACGCAATAAAAAAGTAGTACCTCCAAACGGTTTGCCACGGGCTGCCTCCGGATGCCTGCAGTGTGATCGCGCTGGCGTGCGGCTTTCCCCTCTGGCCCCTCATTTATGCACCAACGCTGAGGGAAGGACCCGTGGTGTGCCGCCGGCGCGTCTGATCATATAATCGCAGATCAAACTGCGCTGGGGCAATTTGCCACGCCTCCGCCCCGTGATATCCGGCCTGTGTGACCGGGACTGGCACTGCTTTCAAACTCTACAAAACTCTGATTATTGACAAACCTACTTGAATCTTTGTTTTGTTTACTGGAAATAAACCTTCCTTAGTATTTAGAAATCCTTATGTTTATGAGATAACTGAGCAGAGCTGCTGTTGCATAGTGGGTAGAATGTCAGATTGGGGATCTGGGATACCCAGGTACAAATCCTGGCTGGGACTTGGGAGCTTTCTGGATGAGTTTGGGCCAGTCATACACTCTCAACCTAATCTTCTTCACAGGGTTGTTGTGAGGATAAAGTAAGCCACTTTGGGTCTCCATTGAGGAAAAAGGTGGGGTATAAATTAAGTAAGTAAATAAATAATAAATACCGAATGAACACTTTGCAGTCAGTCAATTCAGAAGGTATCAGCCACTGACAAGATGCTGATGGACCGACCACATGACTGAACTCAAGGACTGGTTGACAGACTGAGACATATGTTGCGAGCTCCTTCACAAAATGATAGTTCCCAGGGTGGGAGACATAAGATCACAACTCTTAAGCCACTTAAAGCTAATAATGCAGGCCACGCCTATTGACGTGCCTCTCACCTGTTCCTAACTTTCCCTCCTTCACACCACCTACTCACCTGTGCCTGCTTGTTCTCACTCCCTTTTCCATATTCTCCATACAACAAACACTGTACTATAACCACAGTAATCTTTCTCCAGAATGTCCATCCCAGCCCTTTAAAGCTGCCAGAGGAAGCCAAGATAGGCATGCATTTCAAGGGGAAAGATCGCAGTGGCAACTCGTAATATAAGTAAAATATTTTAACACTGTAGTAAGTCTAGTTCATACATTTTCCCTCTACTATACGAGAGTTTAAAGTTGGCCACTTTCTGTTTTCTAGAAAAGGCTTATTTTCAGTTTTGGTAGCCAATGCTTGTTTTGTAGAATTTAATAAACAAAACATAGTTTTACCCAGAATTCATACTCTTAAAATTGGGAGTGTGTCATCTTTGTCACTGTACAATATTACGCAGTTACGTCAGTCCAAGTCCGATGAAATCAACAGCAAGTTCTAGTCCAACTTATGCAGGGTTACACCAGTCAATGAACTGAAAGTGGTGGACACACTGGCAAAACTCTGTACACGTGATGTACTCTGCAATCCTATTATACGGGGTGGGGTGGAGAGGGAGAGATTAAATTAATATATTTATATGTGTGTGTCTGTGCATGACTAGAGCCATGGCATCAGATGGAGGAAGGGGAGTGTTCATTCAGCATGTATACATGTGTACTGAAATGTATATGTACCCGTATATACGTGCATCTCTGTCAGGGTTGCTAGGGATGGTGGGGGTAGGGGTTCCAGCTCCAGGCTGGGAAACTCCTGGAGATTTGGGGATGGAGCCTGGGGAGGACAGGGACCCCAGCGGGGTACAATGCCATAGAGTCCACCAGGGGTCTTGTTGTAGAAAAAGAGCTGCCGGAGCTCATTAGCATAACTCATTAGCATAACTTATTTGCATATGCCACGCCCCCTGACATCACCAGAAGTGACAGAAGGCCACACCCCCTGACATCACCGGAAGTGTGTCAGAAGGCCCGGCTACTTACCCTCCTGCTTCATCCTCATTCCCAAACGGAATGAGGATCGAAGCAGAGGGCGGGGTAAAGAAGGGGGCGGGGATTCACCACGTGACCGCCCCGCCCCCTAGAAGTTCTCTTCCGGAGCTCCGTACCTGAGAGCTCCCCCCCCCCGACTAGAGCCCTGGAGTCCACCCTCCAATGCATCCATTTTCTCCAGGGAAATTGATCTGTGCAGTCTGGAGCAATGTTCCCTCTAAGCTGTAGTCTTGTGAGCAAAAATTCTACTTTGTGAGCTACTGGCATTAAAGTTGTGAGCTCATGATTTGGCTACTGCATAAATTAGTCTGCCCTGGAGCCATCCTTCCTGAGCTAAGGCAAAAATGTTTGAGCTGGAGGCTAAAAAACTGTGAGCTAGCTCACACTAACTCAGCTTAGAGGGAACACTGGACTCTGGAGATGAGCTGTAATTCCGGGGGATCCCCAGGTCCCACCTGGAGGCTGGCATCTCTGTACTGCTACCCTCCCTCCCTCTGATGCCCTGGCTCGAGTCACACATAAAAGAAATACAACCAACGTTTCGGTCTTGATGTGCTTCGATTTTTGCCAGATGAGAACCAGCGTGAGCTTGGGGAAAGGGGAGGCCTCGGGAGCGGCGTTCCGGCGCATGGCAAAAATCAAGACCGAGGCTCAAGAGAGGCCTAGCGAGCTTTTTCTCTCCGCCCCCCTCCCCCGAGTCCGACGGGTAGGGGAAGAGGGAGAGGGGGCCCGGGCATCACTCACTGCTTCACGTTCTCGCCCAGCGCTTCGCTCAGGTTCTTCTTGGCCACCTCCAGCTCGCTCACGTAAGTCGCCATGGCAAAAGCGGCTCCCAGAACCGCCCGCGTCGCCTCAATTGCGAACACCGTCAACCTCAAGAGCAAACCTTTCCTGCGCTGTTTTGTTTGTTTCACAGCTCCCGCCCGTACAGGAATACAGAGGAAGAAAGCCCGACCATGTGACGGCACTTCGCCGTCGCTCCTCTTTGTCCCTTTCCCACGTGACGCGTTTCAGGTCCTTACTAGGGAGGCAAGAGACAGAGCGGCGGGGTGGAGTTGGTGAAAAGGGTAGCGCTGTAAGAGGGGGACGAGGCATGAGCTTTTTCTCGGAGAAACAAAGCACTCTTTCACATAACACGTCGTTAATTTATAGAAATCATTCGGACAAACTGCAGTGCGTTGAAAGAACCCCAGCGGCATTATATATACACCTTCAGAGCCCTCTTAGCCCCAAAAATAAGTCTAGCTCGCCACCTAGTGGTGCATGAAACTACAAGACTTCAGGCTGCCAGAAAGTCTTAGGATCTCCTGGCTATACTACACACAATGCTGTTTAATAATTTATATATCATCTATATAGTTTGTGCCCTATATTGTGTAGGACAAATAAGGAGTGTTACACTGAGATTCATTGAGGGGTTGAGGTTCAGTTGCATTGCAATACTACTGTGTGCTGTCTGTTGTCTGTTTCTACTGTAATTTTTGCATCATTGGATGTATCAAGTTTAAATGCAATAAAACAGCTACTTTGAGGTTCCGCACTGAGTGCTCTGGGAGGTTGATATGTTCTCCTACAGGTTTCTCAGTTTTATGATTCTTGATGTCAGGTTTGTGTCCATTTATCCTTTGGCACAGGGCTTGACCTGTTTGCTGTTTTATTGCAAAGGAATTTCAGAAGCAGATTGTGAGAACCCCCAGGACTTTGAACAGAGATATCAAGTTCTTAGCACATGCTAAGTCACTCCGTTCTCGCTTATACCCAGAATTAAACTTTATTGGTCTTAAAGGAGCCACTGGACTCAAACTTAGTTCTCACATCTGTTTGTTAACTCTTTTATTATGTGTATACTAATTTGCTGCTGCTCACAGATCGTAAAGGTAAAGGTAAAGGTTCCCTTGCTCGAAAGCCAGTCGAATCCGACCCTAGGGTTGCGGTGCTCATCTCCGTTTCAAAGCCGAAGAGCCAGCGCTGTCCGAAGACGTTTCCGTGGTCATGTGGCCGGCATGACTAAACACCAAGGCGCACGGAACGCTGTTACCTTCCCACCGAAGTGGTACCTATTTATCTACTTGCAATGTCTTGCTTCCGAACTGCTAGGTTGGCAGGAGCTGGAACTAGAGACAGGAGCTCACCCTGTCTTGCGGCACCCGGGTCTTGAACCGCTGAACTACTAACCTTCCACAGCCTGCAGTTCAGTGTCTTAACCACTTGAGCCACTGCAGCTCACAGATCTTACCAACTGCTTTAATCCAATCTTAGCTATCCTTATTGCTCAGTTACTTATGCAATCCTGACTCTAAATAACCCTTATTGGCAACCAACCCCCCACATCTATGTAATGGTTGTGGAAGTCTTGTTTCAATGCATCTGGAGAGGTGTATATGCACATGAAAGCTCATACCCAGAATTAAACTTTCTTGGTCTTAAAGGTGCCACTGCACTCAAACTTTGTTCTGCTGCTTCGGATCAACACGGCTACCCCACCTGAATCAAACTTTATTCCAGTATCAGCTTTTGTCAGGCAGTGCTCACTTAGGTGTCTGAAGCATTATGTTCATTTGACAGATATATTTATACTCAATAGTATAAACAACAGAAGGGGGGTTAGAGGGTATTGTTACAAAGAGAGATCAGAAGATTCGGTTTTGTCATGGCATAGCATACATTGCAAAGCACTGATCATTTATGTCTCAAGATTTCAACAGGAAGCCAGTGATCCAATGAAAATAGCAGTTGATCTACAAAATGGATTAGTTTTACACTAGTTATATTCTCACAGTACCCCTGACCTGGATAGCCCAGGCTAGCCCAATCTTGTCAGATCTTGGAAGCTAAGCAGGGTCAGCCCTGGTTTGTATTTGGATGGGAGACCTCCAAGGAATGCCAGGGGTGTGACATGGAGGCAGGCAATGGCAAACCACCTCTGAATGTCTCTTGCCTTGAAAACTCTACAGAGTTGCCCTAAGTCAGCTGTGACTTGATGACACTTTTGTCCACCACCATATTGTCACAGTAGTCTGGTATATTGTCTCATTTGTTCTAAGTCTTTTATGTTGGACTGGATGGATGGGCCATTGGCCTGATCCAACATTGGCTTCTCTTATGTTGAGGTGTACTTATGTTGCTCTTACTTAAACAAAAGCTTCGCAACAGAACAAAGTCTGAATCTAGTGGCACCTTTAAGACCAACAAAGTTAAATTCTGGGTATAAGCTTTTGTATGCATGCACATTTCTTCAATCATATCTGGAGGTTCAATCCAGGCTCAATCCTCAGCATCTTCCACCACCAAAATACACATACAGTGGGCCCAATCAGTATCCTGCACATACACCATGGTGAGGTAGGACTTCTCCTGATGGGTCACTGTTGTACCCCAGGGCAGCCTCACTTGCAATGCAATGTAGAAAAGCCCCAGTGGAGGCCTCAAGAGGAAAGGCCTGTGAAGTAGAGGACTCCTACAGAGGAAAGGCCTGTGAAGTAGAGGACTCCTACAGAGGAAAGCCCTGCTCCAGAGTAGGCCAAAAGAGCCAGATAGCAAGTGAGGGAAAACTGGAAGAAGGACACAGCTGGTTGACAAGGGAAAAGAGCTGGTGAGCAGGGCAGCCGGAATGAACCAGGCCTTCCTAGAGACAAGGGTGATGATTGTTCTGGGGGAGAGAACGACAGGTAGTGGAGCCATGGTGAGGTAGGACTTCTCCTGATGGGTCACTGTTGTACCCCAGGGCAGCCTCACTTGCAATGCAATGTAGAAAAGCCCCAGTGGAGGCCTCAAGAGGAAAGGCCTGTGAAGTAGAGGACTCCTACAGAGGAAAGGCCTGTGAAGTAGAGGACTCCTACAGAGGAAAGCCCTGCTCCAGAGTAGGCCAAAAGAGCCAGATAGCAAGTGAGGGAAAACTGGAAGAAGGACACAGCTGGTTGACAAGGGAAAAGAGCTGGTGAGCAGGGCAGCCGGAATGAACCAGGCCTTCCTAGAGACAAGGGTGATGATTGTTCTGGGGGAGAGAACGACAGGTAGTGGAGCCACAGCTGTCTCGAGGCAAAATCCTGTAGTAATGGTGCAGTGGCCAGAGGTAGTGACGGAAGGACCTTGGCTTGGGATCCTGGGTGCTGACCTGGAGTCTTAATGGAGGCAGGTGGATGCTGTCATTGGTAGGTGAGCCAGTTTGGTGCAGTGTTTAAGAGCGGCAGACTCTAATCTGGAGAACCAGGTTTGATTCCCCACTCCTCCACATGCAACCTGCTGGGTGACCTTGGGTCAGCCACAGTTCTCTCAGAGCTGTTCTCTTAAGAGCAGTTTCTATCAGATCTTTCTTGGCCCCACCTACCTCACAGGGTGTCAATTGTGGGGAGGGGAAGGGAAAAAGACTAAGCTGGGAAAGAGACTAAGCTGCTCTGAGACTCTGAGTGAAGGGTGGGGGTATAAATCCAACTCTTCTTCCTCCTCCTCCTGGCTACAGTGTAGTTATAAGCTGGAGGCTGTCATTTCAGAGGCTGGAGGAAGATAGAATACAGGGGTGGAGGAATGGCCACTGGCCCTTCGGCACTTGACCAAAGACTTGCAAACAAGTTTAGTGGGTGGGGGCTTGATCTGATCCTGCAAGAACACCAGCACTTTAAAGAAAGTAGGTCCCAAGTTGACTTGCTTTGGGCTATGGCTGCAACCACAACATGATGCAAAAGTACTCTTAGCAGACACACTGCCATGTGTAAAAGGCACCCCATTGTGCCACCATTAGAGAAGAGGGCAAGGCCACAGGTAGACCTTCCACCCCAAAATGAAAACAGTTCCTGACCAGGAAGTCTGAGCTGTAGACCTTCCACTACTGTTCCTATCAAGGCCAGGCTCATAGCACAGCCAAAGGTCAAACAACCTGGTCAAAGTCTCATCTGGGACATGGAGGAGGAAAGCCAGAAGCCCCTTGCAGAGATACAGTAAAGGAGGGGCTGCAGTTCCATGGAAGAACCCCTGTTTTGCATGCAGAAGGTCCCAGGTTCATGCCTCAGCATCTCCAGTTAAAAAGGACCAGACAATATAGGTGATCTGGAAGACCACTACATAAGACCGTGGACAGCCGCTGCCAATCTGAGCAGTGAATACAGACCTAGATGGACCAGTGGCATGATTCAGTATAAGGCAGCTTCACCTTACACATATAAAACTTAGGTGTAACCAGAAGCAGGAGCCAAAGAGCTCTTTAAACTTTGGTCCCCTTAGCCAGTGGTTTTGGATGAACCCACCACTGAACTCCAGGATTGGCTGAGATATACCTTAGATCAAAGTGGGCTGCTGTGTTGGTACCTTGTTTGGGTTGTTGATTTATTTAGATTGTACTTTTGCATTGTTGTAAGATGGCAGGTGGATGGAGCTGCTGACTCATAAGCTTGCACTGCCTTGCTGCAATATCGCATTTTCCACGTTCTCAACTCAGAATATTTTATGGCTTAGAAAAGGGAAGATGCTGTGGTTTTGGCTCCAGCGGGGCCGGGGAG